TCTAATAACTATCACGTAGTCATCCTTGGTGATTTTAATGCAGATGAAATTTCACATTCACATCTTCCTCAACATCATTTAAAAATTTTACGATCACTTTCTTCTCGATATTTCACGGATCATCAATCCCATATTTCTTCAATTTCAGGTCCTAGTCCCACTTTTTATCATCAGAATGGTTCTTCAAGACTTGATTATATTTGGTCATCCCCTGGCTTTCCCGCTCCTGGTCTTTTATCTCATGTTGAAACTTGTCCTAAGTTAAATGATAATCAATTTACTGATCACCGTGTACTTATAACGGCTTTTGATTTTAGTTCTTGTTTCGCTACTTTAGCCAAAGCTAGATTAAAACAAAAAAGCGAACAACGCACCATTTTTCTCTACAAAAATTTGAAAGATGATACTTGGGACAAATTTTCTATTGAAGTGAACTCGCGTCTTGAGTTGTATTTGACCACACATCATCCTTCAGTATCTTCACTTTCAGCTCTTTCATTGGACAAACTTTGGCATGCTCTTAAACGTTCTATTCTTGGCGGTGCCATTGATTCTCTACCATTCCAACATGTATCCAATACTCATCACCATAAATATTCTCCAGAACTTACAATGCTTATTGCTATCAACAAATTTTTGGATAGATTATTGTTCAAATTGACCACTTCTAGGCCTAGTCGTCCTGCTCAAATTTCACAAATGATTAATTCTTTACCTACTCAATTAATCCTCCTTAAGTCTCTTTTAACGGATTATACTATACCTTCTTATAGTACAGCACCACTTCCTACCTTTGTCAAATTTTTACGTTCACAAAAAGCTTTGGTTTCAGCTTTTCTTACCACACAATTTCATCAGCATCGTGTAGATTCCATTGAATATTATACTGCCCTTCGAGATGAACATTTCTCTACATCTCCAGGCTCTTTTATTTCTTCAGCCCTATCAGTGGAACACCGCTCTATCATTCTTGATCGAGTCTTAGTTGTTATTGACTCCAAGCCCACATTACTTACTGATCCTTCCGACATCAAACAAGCTGCTATTAAACACTTCCAATCGGTCGTTACTCCTCCTTTGGTCCAGTATTCTTCCACTGATTCGT